TGGGGCACCTGGGTGGCTCAGTCGTTAAGCGTCAGCCTTCAGCTCAGGTCATGATCCCAGGGTCCTGGAATTGAGCCCCGTATCGGCCTCTCTGCTCCGTGGGAAGCCTGCTTCTCCCTCTCCCACTTCCCCTGCTTGTGTTCCCTCTCTCACTGTGTCTCTCTCTGTCAAATAAATAAATAAAATCTTAAAAAAAAAAAAAAGAAATGTAATATAATCCTATTTTGGTAAAATAATGTGAAAAAATACATATGCTTTATATGAACATCTGAACAAAGAGAAGTGTGTATATGTCTTGTTAAAATGGGGATGGATAACCAAGCTTGAAAATAAAAGTGAAAAAAAAAAAAAAAGCCTGTACTAAAAAAAACTACAGTATGTATATTAGTTACATTTATGCATTATATAAGTTATATATGTGAATATACACACAAATATAAAATTAAAATGATATACCAGAAAAGTATAAACCAAAAGAAATTTGATGTAGCAATTTTAGGGTCAGATAAAATTGAATAAAAATGCAACTGATCTCCATATGTTGATTTTGTATCCTGCAACTTTACTGAAATCGAGTATTCTTTTTTTTTTTTTTAAAGATTTTATTTATTTATTTGACAGAGAGACACAGCGAGAGAGGGAACACAAGCAGGGGGAGTGGGAGAGGGAGAAGCAGGCTTCCTGCAGAGCAGAGAGCCTGATGAGGGGCTCGATCCCAGGACCCTTGCTTGGATCATGACCTGAGCTGAAGGCAGACACTTAATGACTGAGCCACCCAGGCGCCCCTCGAGTATTAGTTCTAAGAGGTTTTGGTGGAGTCTTTGGGTTTTCCACATATAATACAATGTCATCTGCAAATAGTGATAATTTTACTTCTTCATTTCCTATTTGGATACCATTTATTTTTCTTGACTAATTGCACTGTCTAGGACTTCCAGTGCTATATCTAATAGGTGTGGTCAGAGTTGGCACCCATTTTGTTTCTGATACTAGAGGAAAAGCTTTTGACTTTTCACAGCTGAGAATGATGTTAGCTGTGGGCTTGTCATATATGACTTTTATTATATTGAGACACATTCCCTCTATACCCACTTTGCTGAGAATTTTTACATTGAAAGGATATTGAATTTTGTCAAATGCTTCTTCGGCATCTAATCTTTCCTTCTCTTCATGTGGTATATGACATTTATTGATTTGCAATCAGAATTCTTCTATACTCTCACAGCACTTGAGACCAGATGTGTTTTTCCACAAGCCATTCTTCAATTCTCAGTGGACACCAACAGGGTGTCCTACAATTGAACTCAATTTTGACACTATCTACCTGAAGTTAGTGTCAGATCTCAAGTCAAGGGCTCAGTCCCACAAGACTGTCCCACTTCAGACACTGATCACGTGACCCAAGTTGTCACTTGTACTTCTGGTCAATCGCCTATAATTTGGGGGTTCCCACCTTTTCCACGGATGATTAATTTGATTAATTTGCTAGCACAGCTCTCAGAACTCAGCTTACTGACTAGACTTTGGGTTTATTATAAAAAGATACTCAGAAACAGCCACGTGGAAGAGATGCATAGGGCAAGGTATGTGGGAAGGGGCATGGAGTGTCCATGCCCTCTCCAGACATACCAGCCTCTCAGCACCTCCACGTGTTCACCAACCCAAAAGCTCTCCAAACCCCTTCAGTTAGGATTTTTTTTTAAAAGACTGTATTTATTTATTTGACAGGGAGAGAGAGAGAGCGCGCACAAGCAGCAGGAGCTGCAGGCAGAGGGAGAGGGAGAGGGAGAAGCAGGCTCCCCGCTGTGCAGACAGTCAGACATGGCGCTAGATCCCAGGACCCTGGGATCATGACTTGGGCCAAAGGCAGATGCTCAACCGACTGAGCCACCCAGGCGCCCCCAGTTAGGATTTTTTATGGAGGCTTCATTACATAGGCACAACTGATTAAATCACTGGCCATTAGTGATTAGCTCAACCTCCACCACACTCCTCTCCCTGGAGGTGGAGGAAGGTAGGCAAGCTGAAAGTTCAATTCCTCTAATCACAGAGTTGGTTCCCCTGGCAACCAGTCCCCAATCTAAGGCTATCCAGGAGCCCCCAACCAGCAGTCATCTCATTAGCATGCATGAAGAAAAAATCACTTCCAGAGATGCTCCAAGGGTTTTAGGAGCTGTATGTCAGGAAATGGGGCCAGAGACCAAATTTCTTATTATGTCACACCTTCCCACCCCTCACCTTCATCTCTGACTACTTTCCCTTCACTTTCTCTATTGCCATTGTATCAGCCTCCCTCTGATTTCCGAATACACCCTGCAAACACCTGCTTTAAAGCCCTTACTCTGGCTATTCTTCTGACCGCAATATACTTCCCCTTGATGCACACATGGCTTCTCCCTGGCACCCTTCATGATTGCTTTCCTCAAAAATCACCTTCTAAATGAGGCCTATATGGATTTAATATTGCAACCCGGGGCGCCTGGGTGGCTCAGTCATTAAGCGTCTGCCTTCGGCTCAGGTCATGATCCCAGGGTGCTGGGATAGAGCCCCGCATTGGGCTCCCTGCTCCGCAGGAAGCCTGCTTCTCCCTCTCCCACTCCCCCTGCTTGTGTTCCCTCTCTCGTTCTCTCTGTCAAATAAATAAAATCTTTAAAAAAAAAAAAAATTGCAACCCATCACAACCTCCACTCCACACTCCCAATCCCCCTTACCATGCTCTACCTTTTCTTTTCTCCTTGGCATTCACCACCATCTTATATGCAATATAATTGACTTATTAGGATTATTACTGTTCCTCCCAATCATCTTAGAATGTAAAGTGAATCCCAGGCATGTAAACCAGTACCAAATACATGGTAAGTACTCATTAAATACTTATTGTAGGAAGCTCAGGAAATAAAATGAAACCTTAATGAACAAATCAGTGTTCCTAACAAAGATGACCTAGGCAATCAGAGTTCAGGACAATTTCCTACCATCTGGCAGCTAGGTCAAGGAGGTAGGATTATTTCAGGCCTATACAGTATACATTATAGAAGGAAAAATCTTTTAGGGTTCAAACAGCTTGCTTGCCTAAAAACAGGGAAGGTCACCATGAGAGGGGCAAGAGTTTATTATGCAGGCTAAGAAGTTTCAAAGATGCCAAAGCATAAAACACCTGGTGGACAAAGAATGCCCTGATAGGTTCTTGACAAGGACGGAATCTAAGGTCTGATACTGACCTCATGTGCCCCACAATTATTTCTTCCACCTCTTATAAAGTTTTCAGTAGCACAGAACATTACTCAACTATTCAATCATTAAAATTGTATGTTACATAACCTATAATCATAATTACATAAAAAGGTCATAGTTATAAGTATCATAAACCATGTATAAAATACCTAATATATGCCCAAAATATAGCAGGCATTCAGTAAATGTAAGCTAATTATAATGATAGCAACAACACTTTTTTTTTTTTTTTTAAGATTTATTTATTTGACAGAGAGAGAGAGAGAGAAGAGCAGGGGGAGAGGGAGAAACAGGCTCTCCACAGAGCAGAGAGCCCGGTGCGGGACTTGATCCCAGGACTCTGTGATCATGACCTGAGCCAAAGGCAGACGCTTAACCGACTGAGCCACGCAGGCGCCCCAACAACACTATCTTTGAAGTAAAATTATTTTTAATAATATAAACATTTGAATAGAAAGTAAAAGCTGTATATTTTATATCTCATTTTACTATCTTTCTCCATTTCCTTAAACTGATTTTATCAATCTTGATTATAACCTCAGTTAGATCAGACATACTGTACAATAAAGTATCAATTTCTAAATTGTAATATCTGTTAATAAGTCATTCTTAGTAAAAAAATAAGCGATTTCATTTACAGAGATATCCTACTTTAAGAAAATTTAACATGAAAAATTCTAATTTACAAGAAAATGTTTGGGAATGCTTCACTTTACAAGTGGATTCATCACAGTATTATTTTAAGCATTTGCCTACAAACTTTTGGACTAGAGAAGGAGAAACTGAGGTAAAACATTAAAAATCAATGGTAAGCAACTCTGAAATAATAAACAGAGATTTAATTTAAAAAATTCAACCTATGTGCCATTTTTCAGAAAAATAACTACAAACCTCCTCAACAACAATTTTGATTCATAAATAACATGATCCACCCAGCCACAGAAAATTACTAGAGCACCCAAACCCTACGTGGACATTGCTCTCATCCTGTCTCTGGGTCCCCTAGAAAGTGCCTCTGCCTGCCTACCATTCTTTGTGCTGTCCATATGGTTCTCTATTTACACTTAAGATGAGAGTACACATAACATCATCTCCAGATTCCCTTATTCTGTCTTCCCTCTACGGCAACACAGTATAGATCTCTGTATGATATAGATCAAAATACAGTGGTAACACAAAAATGAAGTGATAATCTATTGTCTTTTGATGGATTAGAAAATACTTCATTGGTGTGGTATTTTGGGAAGTTGAAAGGGGAATGGGAAGAGGGGAAGCAGCATCTTGCAAAGGCAAGGGTATAAGAAAAAAAGACTTATTTTATCTTTGGAAACTCAGTTCAGTTGGGGGAGGATTGGGAACAGCCAGAGATAAGGCTCTGAAAAGGAAGAACTCAAATTTTTGACTACTTTAATGTTGTCTTATTAATTTTTGAATCTCTGGTGTCTAGCATAACAATAGGTCAATAAATGTTCATTAAGTAAATTTGCTAAATCAGAAAATCACAAAAAGTAAAAAAGTTTCCAAATTCCAAAGGACCAGTATTTCTTCAAACTGCTTTTTGCAGGTCAATATTTACAAAATAGAAGTAAATAGAAGTTACATTTACAAAATGTATTCAAAAATACCAAACAGATTAAAAAATGCCACAACTCAGATGACTGAAATGACAGCTAAGATACTGAAATACAGTTTACGTTGCATTATATTTTATTTTCTGATGAATTACAAATATGAACACATGCAGCAACTTTTCTGAAGTGACTTACCTAAAACAAAAATTCTTCAACCAGATGAAATGGTTTGTAGCACTTTTGTGAATGTCAGAGACACTTTTGGTGGCCTAATGAAGCCTATGGGCTCCTTGGAATGATGTTTGTAAATGCATAAAATAAAATTCATAGGCTTGAAAGAAAGAAAAAAATCATATCACAAAGAAAACCAATTATATTAAAATTCAGTTCTAACCACAGACCACAGTTCTAATCATGGACCCTACTTTAAGGACTCCTGGTAGAGGATATGTGTTAACTTGGAAGAGCAAAGACTAGATACTTCTTACCTAAATAGTCTATAGATAGATACATAGATATAAAAATATAATGTTCCTATTAAAAGAAACTCATAATAACTTGCCAAGATTAGGATATTATATAAAGTTATTTAAAGTTTAAATAACCTTTGAAGATTTTATCTGTGGTAGAACAGGTTGCATCCATTTATTGTTCCTACTATGTGCATCTTTTGTATTGCAAAATTTTCTAAAATCATTACATCTGTACAAAATTAATAATAATATACTAATGCTACATTTGTATCATCAGGAATTTCTAGCTAGTTTTCCAAAGATGACATAAATCAGTACACGTCTTTCCTTAATCCAAGAGCTCATGAGAACCAGTAGGATTGACAATTTGGGGGGCCCTAGCATACCTAGCACACTCTGTATTCAAAATACTTTCAGACGCACTACATAAACAACCTTGGTGTAGGTTGTCTTTGGGGTCTATAATTAAGAAACACCTTATAGTTAAAGCTGTCAAATTACAAGATCTGCTAAGTATTGTAATAAGTAAATGTCTTTGTAGGATAGCCTAATCTACCACTTTATAGATTTCAAACATACTTTTGGAAAATTGTAGGGTAAAGCAACATCCTCCCTAGCATGGTAGGTGAGTGAATTCCAAACAGTTTCAACAGGAAAAATAACCCTGATTTTTGACTTTTTAATGTGTACATCACCTTAAAATAAATAAAAATTTTCATTTTCTAACTGTTTTGTTAAAATTGGCTTCTAAATCATAATTCCAAAATTATATTTGAGACTAAAAGAAACATTTGACACTAAATAATAAAGTTCTTGAATCACAGTGCATACTAAAATTATAAGAGTTTTTGAAAAGAGATTTTCTTTTTTAAGGAAAAGAACAAACTAGGTGGAAAAGGGTATCCCTCTCACATTAAAATAGCTATCTTTTAAAAAACTACTTTTTGTATCTTCTAGAGAAAATAATATTAATGGAGTGACTATTAGTGTTCCATGAACACTATGCATTTATAAAAAGTTTTTAAATTAATAGAGAAAAAAAGACCTGTTCTTGGTCACTTATTTTTACACTATAGGAAAAAATACACATAACTACCAATGAGTTTAATTTATGAACAAATTTAAATAAATCACTTTCATGGTTTATCACCACTAATCATGAACCTAGGCAAACTGTCCAAAAAGCTCATTTTAAGAGCCTCTAAAATGTAAAACAAAAACAAAAACTGTGTTTTTTCCAGCCTATAATTAACTCTTACCTACAGTGAGTGTGTCTATTTGGAATTTTTACCACAATGGTAGATAAATCCTAAATCACTTTTGCAAAATAAGTTTGTTTGTTTGTTTTTAATTTCTCTTTCACAGGATGAAGGAGCTTTGCCTAGGCCATCATCAGGAAACCGAAAATAGAAAATTAAACTAACAAGAAAGTATCAATTTGGCCAAAAGTACATTCAATTAGAATTTTGTTAGCACTTGCTACTCCTTGTAAACACAGAATTAGCAATGCTTTTCTTTAAAGAACAGAATTAAAAGCGAATCAGACCCTAATCACAACTTCCTAAGTTTAAACATCCCTCACAAATAGCCTTGAAAATCCCTTGCAAAAATACATATATTTTTCCAGATAAGGAAACATTTTGGCATACTCTGCTGTCTAACAAATAAAGCCTTGCAGTACATTTTGCAAGCATTAATCAGACCTTGCTCTGATACAGAAAACCCTGTAGCAGGATAACAAAACCTCAGAACACGCTCAGATTGCAGGCTTTAGACAGCCTCCCTAGTACACCTGTACAAGTACTTCCTGTTCTCCAACGATGTTTAAAAGTAGTTTGATAAACGCCCCGTAAGTCGCCGTTTAGAAGCTAAACATTAACTATAAATTACTACTACCACCCAGAAACCACCAGCCCAAAGATTCTCACGAATCCAGTCATCTCTCTTCTCCAAGGAGCGCAACAGGACCATCAGGACCCCTTTAAAAAGGGGCTGCTCGGGCGAGGCAGTGGCTGCTCCGCAAGTGAGGGGCAGGGGCCAAGTAAGCGTAGTATTCATAATCCGAACGCACTGAGCGACCCAGCTGGACTCCAGGTTCTGCCTCGCGTCCGCCCTCAAACACAGCAGCAACGAACAACCACGACCCAGTAAATAAGCACCTCCTCCCGCGCGCCTCCAGCCTGGCCAGACACATCTCCTCCAGGGCCGGGACCGGGCGGGAAGGAGGAGGGAAGGCTGCGTGACCTCGGATGCCTGAGCCCGGGCAAAGAGTCCGCGGAACGGGGGCGAAGGGTGTCGCAGGGCTGCTAGGGGAGAAGCCAGGTCTGACGTTGGAACGAGGGTCTCCCACTCAGGCCCGGGGCGGGGGTCGCAGGTCGTTGGATCTCTATCCAGGGACTAGTTTCGGAGACTTACCTTCAGCTCTGCCCTAACGAGAGGGAGAGTGCGGTCCAGGTAAAGAAATACGGGCCTTCCACTTTCACAGGACTACCTCCCGCTGGCCCTGCTCCGCCTCACGCCAACACCCGTCTGACACTAACAGCTGCCACCTTAGCCGAGGTTCACCGGGAACTGAAGCAGAGGCGTCTGGTCTCGCCGCCCAGAGCCCGACCCTGCGCATGGAGCATGCGCACACGCCCCAACACCAAGGGCCAGAGAGGGCAGTGGCACCTGCGATCAACAGGTCCCGGGAGACCCGCCCCACTCTCCGCCTCGTGCCGGCCCCGCCTCCTCGCGAAAGGCCCCGCCTTCACGCTCCTCGAGCTAACCCCGCCCCGCACTCGATTTCCCGGCTTTCCGGACCTGGCGAACTGTATTCCCGCGGGGGTTCGACTGGGCGCGCGATCCAGTTGACTTACTCCAAGGCGCGAGATCCCGCGAGAGCAGGAACTTGAACATTTCCCCTAAAGCAAGAGGGGAGCGTTGTTAGGGCTTAGCTGTCAGGGAGGGTGCGTGCCGGTTCGCTGTGTGGTGTAGAGGGAAGAAGGGGTTAGTTCTCCTCAAGCGGAGGTGATTATTCCCGCGCTCTTGGTCAACATTTTCGGTATTTTCTAAGCTCAGGAACGCGAACCCACGAAGGACTGGGTTAAGTATTGTTACCTGAGAGAAAACCATCCGTACTGCCTGGCTTCACAACCGCGTGTGGGTATGCAATTCCTTTTAGCTTTCTGTGAATCATTACGATTTGTTTACAGTGAAATAGCTTCCATTGGCTTGAAGGTATATTCCCCAACTGGTTATTTCGTGACTATTAATAAAATGAAAGCTTTAATAAACATGTTGACTTAATAGTTAATTGTGGTAAGAAAAATTGGGCTGCCTCCTTACTCTGCGTTAGAACAAGTTTTAAGTTAGAAGTTTTAAGCTACTGCTTCGGAATTGGGCTAAACTTTGTTTTGTAATTTTTTTTTAATAGAAGTTAAAAAAAAAAAACCCACTGCCATCTTTAGTATCAAAGATCCCTCTCAAGTAATAAACAAAATTTTGAAACTCATTTCAAAGCTGATGCAGGTAGAACATACAGGTTATAAAAATTGACTTAAGTAAACTCATAGGTAACTAAAAGTTTATTTGAAAAATTAGAATGAAGAAACATTTTACATTGATATAGGTGCATTTTGCTTGAGACTGACTGAATGTGAATTTATTGAGAATTTACTATATTTCCTTCACTGAATTAAGCACTAAAGGAAATATAGTGAAAGTTAAGACATAGTTCCTGCCTTCCAGAAATTTAAAACTTCTGGAGGAGGAGGGAAAAAAAAACTTCATTAAAAAATAGTAACACTATTAACTCTCCTTTTGGTTTCCCTAGTACCACTATTTCTTGGTTGTGCAACTACATCTCTGACACACTTTAAATATTTTTCTTAAGGCCCTCTGTGTTCTCAAGCTCTCCATTTTCTTTTCTTTTCTTGTCTGACCTTACTCCTCTCATATCCTTGAACAATCTATTTTACTAGGTGTCCCAGTGCACCAAGGACTCCCAGATGTATATCTTCAGGTTAGACTTTTAAGCAACATCTTCATTTGTATATCACACAGATACCTTAAATAGGTCCTAAATTGATGTTGGTATCTTTAGCATTCCTTATTCCTGAGACTCTCCCCACACATCCCTTTTAAACTAGCCCATTTTCATTCCCCATTTCAGATAATGGCACCCAATTACCCAAGACAGGAATCCAGGAGTACCCCTATATTACATTTCCTTCACTTCCTCTATCCTAATATCAAATTCTATTGACTCATCTCCTTAAGTATCCCTCAAATCCACTCTTCTTCAATCTTCACTCTCGCTGTCAGTCCATCAAGTAATTAACACCTCTCCTGACTCATCTCCCTTGGACAATTGCAATAGTCTCTTGTTATTTCCCACTCCACTCCAACCTATATTCTATTAATAATTTTTCTAACATGAAAATATGATCACAATATTCGTCTGCAAAGATTTTTTTCAGGGGCTTCCCATCACCAGTCGGGCCTTTCATGATCTTGCTTCAGACTGCTATCATCTGCCATTCTTGCCCATTTACTCCACACTAGCCATACTGAACTCCTTGCTTTTCTGTGATCTTTCCACGTTCTTTCAGGATCCTTTGGGTCTCAGTTGAATTGAAAACTTACCCTCCTTTATGGAACCTTTCATAATTTTCCAAGACGGACTTGCCTTTCCTTCACCCTTTTGGACTTATTTCTGTTATAACAATTATATTGTACTGTAATTATTTATTTGCAAATGTAACTGACAAGTCAACCCCTATCTCCACTCTTGAAAAATAATTTGAACTGTGGATAATAAAGACTCATACTATCTCCTCTCCTCATTTAAAGATTACAGAAGAATGCCCTTTAGTTCACCCTGCTTGAGATTTTGACTAAACCCTGACTGAACACTTTTTTAATCCTCTAAGTTCAAACTTTCTACCAGTTCTTGGCATATCTAAGTACTGAGTTTTAAATTATAGGCTTGATATGGTCACAAGTTAAGCATCAAAACGGCAGTCTGAAGCAAACAGATGGGAAAAAGGAAAATTGACATTGTACTACATATCCCACCCAGAAAACTTTGTAGGTAGGAATGTCTTTTCCTGCTTTTAATAATAACACACCCACAGGTTTTAATAATAACTTAACCACAGGGTGGGCATAACTCCAAGTGGGGTATTTCACCCTTTACTGGCCCAGTGATTGGTGTATGGGTGATTTAGGCTAATCAGCATCCTTCAGCAGTTTCAAATTGGATGTTTTCTCTGGTCATAAAGCTGTAAAGATGGAAGCTCAGAGCTGCTTGTGGCAATGCATGTTGCCATTTAGAGTAGCTGGTCTGAAAGAATAATGCAGATATGGGAGGAAATATGAGAGAGAAGAGAATCCCTTAAAGTCCTCCATCCTCTTATAAAATAGGAAATTCAGGAGTTGAGTGCTTACCAGACTCCTCAAAGCTCTGCAGCATGACATTTTGTTAAATATCAGAAGGTCAAATTCAATATCCTTAGCATCTTAGCCAGCTCTTCCTTAGTCAAAACTTCACTAGCTATACATCCCAATCCTTCTAAAAGGCTCTGCTATACCAGAGTCAACATTTGTTAGTTAACCACAGCTGGTGGTTAGCCAGTGGCCTCCTTAATTTTTGCTGAGTTATTGTCAGCTTAGGCAATTTCATTACCCTTGTATGTTATTTCACTTTGAAACATTCTAATTTTCTTATCTGTAAAACTGTGATGAGAAATAATACTTACATATGATGTATTTTGATACTGACCCAGATAAAAGCAAGTAAAGTCCTAAACTGTATTATTACAGCCATTAGTGCTATTATTATGAATACCAATACTGTTGTCATCAATGATAATGTGATGCTGTAAGAACCTATATATTGTTTTTCTTGCTGTACTATGTATTTTAGTACAATCTCAAACATGTGGAAGGCTTTAGATTATATCTGGGCCAGCCTCCCATTCACTGAAGGATTATTACCACCAGTGGTTGTCCAGGTTCTGTTCAAATATAGTCACATGATAGAAAACTTGATGCTTTGTGGTACACCCTATTCCTTTTTAAGATTAACTGTTAAGGGGTGCCTGGGTGGCTCAGTCATTAAGCGTCTACCTTCAACTCAGGTCATGATCCCAGGGTCCTGGGATCGAGCCCCGCATCGGGCTCCCTGCTCCGCGGGAAGCTTGCTTCTCCCTCTCCCACTCCCCCTTGCTTGTGTTCCCTCTCTCGCTGTCTCTCTCTCTGTCAAATAAATAAATAAAATCTTAAAAAAAAATACTAACTGTTAAGAAATTTTCATCACAATGAATTGAATTCTATCAGTAATTTCCACATACTGGTCTTATTTCTGTTCTTTGTAACAACAGAAATCTATTCACTTTTCCATAAGACACTATTTAACTGTGAAAATACTTCTGTTTTTTCAAGCTAAAAATACTCCGTTCTCTCTCAATTTTTTGAAGGCCTAATTAATATTAAGCTAATCAATTCATTCATTCATAATATTTCACATCACCTTATGAAATATTTAAAGTGAATTCTGAAGAATAATAATAATAAAATGAATTCAACATATAATGTAGTGGTGAAATATAAATAAGAAGACAAATCAGAGCTATGAGAAGTTAAAATACAAGTAGAATATAAAGAATGAGAGCAAAAGAACAAAAATATGCACAAACCTATGGCTTAAACTTGTTTGGCTCTGATCTAAAATCAAAAGTGGATATGATATTTAAGTTATTGGTAACAGGAAAACATTTTTCTGTCATCACCTAAAATTGTTTTCCCCCATGTGGGCCTTCATCTAAGGGGGCTCTTATCTATGTTCACTGACAATAAACTCATCAACATGTCCCTGGAAAATGCAGTAACAGGCTTCATGTACCATCCATGAAACTGAGCTCAGGATGCTCTTTTGCTGTCAACTTCTGAAAAAATGTGACACCAAAAAATAAGAACAGATTTTTTCAACTAGCCCAATTATGGTTTGTGCATAAATATTCTTTCCCTTTAATTTTTTATAAAACAAGTTTTATAACATGTTTTACATATAAGGTTCTTTAGAATCTTAGAGATGGAAAGGATCTAAGAGATTAGTTTGTTAAAGTCTCTCATTGTACAGATGAGAAAACTTAAGTTCAGGGAAGTAAAGTTACCCAAGCTTGTGCTGGACGCTAAGTAGAACCAGAACTGAAACCCAATTCTGAAACACTTGGAATTGGCCTGTGTGAAATATTTTCCCTGAAATATTCTGAGGTTTCATAAGAGATAGTATTCTTTTGTCCCTTAAAGTACAATGAAATTTCTTCTGTATTCAAGTATTGGTGATAAACATACTTGGCATCTTTGTACCCTTTTGAAAGACAAGGGAAGGGGAACATAAGGAAGTTGAGAGCATTTCACAAGTAAAGATTTTTCTGAATTGTGATATCTATGGTAGTACTTTGACTTCATGAAAAATACTAAGCAGTTTGGAAATTTACCAAACTTGTTTTCTCACCCCTGGGAACCTAACAATTCTAAGCCACGCGCGCGCGCACACACGCACACACACGACTTTACATCTTGGACTGACTTGTTTTTAAAGTAGTTCTTTAAGAAATACAATAGTACAATAACACCATATCTTTTGCTCATAGCATATTGGCTGAAGCACTGAGCCCAAAGGAAGTTGCCCTGGAGAGCACTTTTCTTTGTAAAGATGATGAAAATATTCAGGGCACCAGTGTTTTCAAGTTGAACTTCCTTATTGAAATTCACTTCACAGTCAAAAGGAAAAAGAGAAATACAACACTTTTTAATAGAGTAATAAAATTGTTGAAAGATATTCAGTGATAGAAATACTTCAAAGAATTATAGGTATATATAAAGCAGAAATTCAAAAAGACTGAATTTATTTCTAATTCTCAACTATTAGTGTTCTTGAGTCTTTCATTCTCTTATCTGTAAAACTGGAATTGTGCTGGGGGTAAACAATCTAACTCTTGGCAAATAATATCCCAGGAATGTATGTTAAAGACTTTGTACATTTTATTTTTTTTCAAAGATTTTATTTATTTATTTGAGAGAGAGAGCATGAGCAGGGGGAGTGGGAGAGGGAGAAGCAGACTCCCTGCTGAGCAGGGAGCCAGACTCAGGGGTCAATCCCAGGACCCCAGAATCATGACCTGAGCCGAAGTCAGACACTCAACCGCTCAACAGACTGAGCCACCCAGGCGCCCTAGACATTGTACATTTTAAATCAAAGTTTTTTGATTAAATTGTTTTCTACAAGTTTTGTCTTGTTACTGTTTCAGATTCTTTTTATTCTGAATAACTCTCCTTATGGAATTAGTTATAACAGTTTTAATGTGATGAAGAAAAGCCATCTCAGTTGCTAAAAACTGTGCTGACCTTTCAATTTCAAACAGCAGCTAGCAGTAGGTAGAAGAGTAACTTTCAAACACTGTAGACTGTAACCTAGAGAAAGCAGTATATATTTTACACTATGATCCAGTTCACATGGACATGTATAAAACAAAATCAATAGTTTCTTAAAACAGTATTATGACTGAGTGATGCACTCTGATATTTTATTCATTTCTATTTCATTTGAAAATCTTCTGATCATAACCAATGAAATTGATTTCTAGACCCCCTAACAGAACAAAACTATAGTTTGAAAGATGTGAGCAAGAGGTTTTTAACAGAAGAAGCAGTTCCCCCTTCAATATAGTGTGGAAATTTACTCCCTCCGGTTAGAAAAAAATATTCATTTTGGTTTGATATTATCACATTAACAATTTTTCACCCATTAAAAACTTCCTAACATTATAAAAAGGCCATTGCTCTTTGGCTCCACATTTTGCTAACATTACCCTTATTCACAGTTTTAATCCTCTATGGTTAATAAATGAGATGTACAAATTATATAAGGCTATATCCATATAGTTATAGATAAATATGAAATCATTTACAGTATGCCACCAGAAGATGTGCAGCTTATGTCTTTGTGGATGACTATGTTCTCAACTGAGATAGGAGAGAGAGAATAAGATAGTGGAAGGAATGTGACATCAGAAGCAGAATTCTTGTGTCCTAATTTTAGATATGCAGTGTGAGAGTGGGCTAGTTTCTTAACTTCTCTAAGTTTCCATTCTGTAAATGAGGGAATTGATCTAGAAAATTTCAAGATAGTATATAAAGTTCTTTGATTCTTTGATGGTTGTTCATTTAAACCAAAGAGAGTGTTTTATTACACTATTAACATAGTTCTAGTGGATGACATTTGGAAAATAATAACTTATCTTTGCTTATTCTTATTATATCTAAAACATTAATGTCCTTTGCTATGCTAACAAGAGAACACTTAAGTAAGCATCAGGGTATGGAATTGTACAAATGGCATAGTCTAATAATTTTGATAAGTATGATCATTAACCATAACTGATGTATTTATACATATATGCATCTGAAAATATGATTTTTCTGTGTTGCTATGTGTCTTAGTCTGTTTGGACTACTATAACAGAATATAATGGACTAGGTAGCTTATAAACAACAGAAATTTACTTCTCACAGTTCTGGAAGCAGGGAAGCCCAAGATCAAGGTGCCAGCAGATTCAGTGTCTAGTGAGAGCCCACTTCCTGATTCATAGATGACTATCTCACTGTGTACTTATGTGGGGGAAGAGGTGAGGGAGCTCTTTGATGTCTCTTTTATAAGTGTACCAATCCCATTCATGAGGGCTACACCGTCATGATCAAATCACCTCCCAAAGGCTCCACCTGCTAATACCATCACATTGAGGGTTAGGATATCAGCATATGAATTTTAGAAGAGACACATACATTCAGTCTATACCTAAAAAAGTTTGGTAAGTTTATGATAAGTTTAATGTGTTTTTATTATTTTGATGAGTTTGTGAGAAAACTGTAATCATATACTATGTTCACATCTCTTTCTATGTATCAGAAGAAAAGAATATTTTTCTTAAATAAGTGTGGCCCATGTTCACATTTGACTTTATGTTCCAAAATAGGTGCTGAGCCTGGAGTGTTGCATGGCCCAGAACAGAGCCTTGTGCAGGAGGCCTGGGACCTAAGGTAAATCAGCTATGTTGTAGAATCTTCATTAGCCCCAATATTTCACATAGGTAGAATTAAGGTAAAATGAATATTAGAAAGTGAGTTTTAAAATTAAGCTTGAGAGTGGTAATTGGAAAGTATTCCTGCCTGCCTTTACAAGGTAAGGTGGAAAAGAAGAAAAGGTTATTTCAGGTAGATTGCATTTAGGTGAATTTTTCATTATTTTAGCATCAGCTCATAGAGGAATCAACTCCTTCCCCTGGTTATGAATTCCAGATGCCTACTTTCTTTAAGCAAAGCAGGACCCTCTCTACCCCTTGCCCACCCCTGAAAGAGAATGGGAGTGATTGTTTTTATTCACTATACTCTAGAGATAATTGTGCCAAAACATTAGAATCTAGAGGCAATATGGCTTTTTTTTTAATTAAAATTTTTTTAATTTAAGTAATCTCTACACCACCTTGGGGACTCAAACTCACAACCCCAAGATCAAGAGTCAATGATTCCACTGACTGAACCAGTCAGGCGCCCCAGGGGCGACATGCTCTGTGATTTGAAACATTCCAAACGGGAATTTAAAGGAAAAATCATTTTAGTTGGGGAAAAAAAAAAAAAAGGGTTATGTAGCCATCAATTCCATAGGAACTCCATTCTGATTGTGTGATGCGTTTTCTGAAGAGGTAGGGTACACTGATCAAGGAAAGTATCCGCCATACTGATTTTTAAAAACTCTTAAGTGACAGGCTGCCTGGGACATGGCAGTCTTGCTGCCCCCAAGAGGACTTTTCTCTTTCCTTTCTTTAACAACTTCATTGGTCCCAGCTGTCAGCTTACCTCCCACCCCCAAGCACAAGCATGGTACGCAGCAGGGACTCAAGATTCTGCCAAGAACATCTTGCCGTGATTGGATAGGAATCCCAGATAAAAATGCAAACCTTTGATTTGTTCACTTTGACATCCCTGAAAGTTGAATCACCATTGGAACAAAAGCTAAGAGAGTTAAGACAAAATACAGAAGGATGTAACCAACAATTCTGTGCAAAATAGAATTTGACTTTTCATAAGAAAAAAGAAGAATTTATTCACTCAAGATTAAAAGCTAAAGGCCTGGGAACTGAAGCGGAGTCAGGTCAAAAAGTGACATTGAATGTAGAAGAAATGGCTGACTTTTACAAGGAATTTTTAAGTAAAAATTTTCAGAAACACATGTTTTATAACAGAGACTGGCACGGCCTAATTTTGCCATCGCCTTCTTCATGGGGAGAATGGCCCTGGAGAGGATTTGGAACAAGCTTAGATTGAAACAAAAGAAGACCAGAGCGCACCTGACCCACCCACCTGGTGTCTGAGTTTCTACAAAAAGTGGCTGGTTTGAGAGCTCATTTTATGAGGGCTCTAAAAAGCTGTAAGTGGGGGCACCTGGGTGGCTCAGTTGGTTAAGCGTCTGCCTTCGGCTCAGGTCATGATCCTGGGGTCCTGGGATCAAGCCCCGCCTCTGGGTCCCTGCTCAGTGGGGAGTCTGTTTCTCCCTCTGACCCTCCCCTGTCTCATGTTCTGTCTCTCTCTCAAATAAATAAATAAAATCTTTAAAAAAAAAATAAAAATAAAAAGCTGTAAGTGATCTGTGAAAACCTCTAAGTCCCACACCTTTGTTATGCAGGCTCCTTCGCTTATGTCAGCACAGGGTGGGCTGGGAGAATGTGGGTCCTGGTGAGCCATGGGCCATGTGACTCTGTCCTGACTGTGGGTTCCCAAGCTGGCTCTTGTTCCGGGTGTGACATTAAATAGAGTCCAAGTACTAAGAAAAAAAATTCTTAAATGACATACAAAATATGGAAAAGCTCACAGGAAGGAAGACTATTCTATCAAGATCCTAAAAAGGCTATCTTAACTGCAATTTTGAGTCTGGAGAATGGAGCTAATGCTTATCCAAAAAAGGTAGTCAGTTTAGTGTTTCTATCTATGTCTGTATTTAATAAATTCCTTGCTCCAACATAAAGTAATTCCAAATCAGAGCCAAGTATATTTATCCCAAAGAATTTTCAGTGTAACCTCTAATCTAGCTTAGTTCTCAGTGCCTTTGATTTCTTACTGTATGATGTTGATATATTTTTATTATATTCATAACAATAGCTAACATTTATTGAGGGACTTACCATGTGTGGGGTAGTATACTTTATAATGCATTTATTTTTAAGATAGCAACTAATATCCTCATAATTCAGATACATTTATTCATTTAACACATTTTTATTGTTCTTTACTATGTACCAGGCACAGAGGATAGAGCAATTAATAAAAAAGGCAAAGTTTCTGCCCTGAGAGAACATTCATTCTGGTGGGCGAGATGAACATGGAAGGAACAAATACGTATATTACTTTGGTGGGTCATAAGAATGCTCCTTGCAGATGTCCAACAACATTATTGACCAAGGGCCCCAGTTCTGGTGCACTGTGACCTCCATCACTTCATTCGGGCCTAGGCTGCCTTCCAGTCTGTTCCCAGCCGATGACTGACTGTGACAGGGACACTAAGGCAGAACCGCTTCAGGGAAACAGGGCCTCTCCTGCAGGTGACTTTGGCTCAAGGATCCTCCAGCAGCTGCACTGCATCTTCCCTCGACTGCATGCTAGTGTGAAACAAGTCAGTGGGGAACAGTCAGGAACAAGAGACTCCTTGAAGTCTCTTGGCTCTCCCAGCCCTCTGGACTCCTTCCCCCTTTTCACTTTGAGGGCATTTTTCCTAATACAATTTTTTCAGATTTAACCCCACCTTGACATCTGCTTCTCAGAGGACCCAGACTAACATATTATGTTAGGGAGTAATAAGTGCTATTTTAAAAAAGCACAATAATGGACACCTGGGTGGCTCAGTCGGTTAAGTGTCCGACTCTTGATTTTGGCTTGGGTCATGATCTCGGTGTCGCAAGATCAAGCCCCGCATCTGCATGGGATTCTCCCCCTTACCCCCTGCATGTGCGCATGCTCTCTCTTTCTCAAATAAATAAATAAAATCTTTTTAAAAAAGCACAATAAGGTGTTAGAAATATATGCTCTGGATTAAGGATGGTCAGGGAAGGTCTCAGACAGAGGTAGCACTTGAGTCACATAAAGAATTGGAGAAAACGGATTTACAGAGTGAAGTGAATTGCTTGAGAGTACATCGCTGATTTGTGGTAGATCAGCCCCCAGCTGGCACCTTCAAAATGACCACTTTTATGTTATCTGTAAGTACGTGATGATACAGAAAATGTACTGAGAGTATCTGTTTGGGGGGCAGTTGTGTACATGAAGAATTAGAAGTACTTCAAAAGGTATGAGGAGAAACCTGCAGAAAGCACTAAATGACACAATTAATTCCTGCCCAGGCTAGCATGAACTTCCTTTCAGCCTGCTCCATTCTGGCATTCCTTTTTTGCCCCTTTCATTTAAATTTATTTTGCTAGTGCTGCAGCTTCTATACTAGTTCTTCAATCAGCAGTTTTAAAATAGGGTATGACACTGAATTTATCTTTTTTCCTTCTGACTTTTTCCGGTCCTGTTTCCTGAAACATCTCCATCCCCTACAGTGCCTAAGCTGTCACTGAAATGTGTTTCAAAATATAACACAGTAAAACATAACACAGTACAGAAAAATAAGCACATTCTTTTTGGAGCTGAACCATAACCTCTTAAAATTAGCATTTCCCCCCCATCTGCCCATACGGACCAAATATTCCTATTGATATCACATTATATTGAGAAAGCAGAAAAAGTTTCTATTCCTGGATTGAAATCCAGCCCTTTTAAGGAATTCAAATAGAGACACACCCTGTTCTTTATCTGATAACACTCCAGCTTCAGCCCTGGAAATCTTTACACAATTTTACTTATTTTTTTTCTTGGCTCTGGAAAGTTGAACTTTTTAAAGTATTATAATTTTCCAAAAACTTGTTGATATATTGGTGAAGTGCTTTGATCAGTAGATTCCCCTTGTTGTTCTCTGAGCAGAAGCTGTCACTCTTCCACCTTTCATAGAAAGCAAACCACTCTTCTTCCTACAGAATAGAGCATGTGGAGGTCGAAAGTATTTTTCATAAGAAGCATTCAAAGCAATACTTCCCTAAGCTTAATAAAAAGCAGTTGTGGCTGAGAAACTGCAATGATGTCATGTAAGTTTTATCTTGCCTAAGCAGCAGAGTGAGGAAATTCCAGAATTAATAAGTCTGCTGGTACAGCTGTGCCCTGAGTTGGAAAGTTCAGGATGTTCTTTTCATACTCACGACTGGACATTTTGCTCCACATTAGCCTTTGCAAGAATAATTGGCTCCCTCCATTTCCAAGCTGCTAAAACATTTATAAATGGATCTATTTAGAAAATGTAAAAGTTTAAATGGATTCAATAAATGGTCACTTAGACTCAAAATTATTGTTTATATTTGCCTTGATTCTGTAATGACCTGTAATTAGTTATTTTTAATTATCAAGTGCCTTTGAATAGTGAGTTAAGAAATGGAAAATCCTAACTTTGAGAAATGATTGAAGGGAGTAGAGTTAAAAACCAAGAATGGTCTTTTTAACCATAGCTCTAGTTATTAATGTGGCTCTAGTTATTATCTAGAGAACAATTGGCCAGCTGATCATCAGGAAATTGGCTTACATAAAATAAGAGATATAATTTCATGATCCGGAAGTCTGTTGAACAGTATAATGGAAATTGAGAGAGTTCTGTCTAGTTTTGTAAAGTAGAAAATATTTTCTTTAAAGGAATGGCTTTGGTGTATTATCACACTAGATGATTTCTTTCAACCTTACGGTACTTAGTGACATGCACTCCTTTCCTTTCTTTCCTCTTCTTTCCTCCTTTGCCTCTGCAGGGGAAAGAAAAGGAAGATACACAGTGCTGAGCAGAAATGAGCAAATTTAATCAGAGTTCGCTTTTGTGGTTCTCAAATTTCAAAATTAAATATGCATGTTGCTTGTTTTATTGGGTTCATGTTCAGTATAGCCTGACAGAGCAGCCTTCTCTGATCATGAGTGCCTGAGTGACTTTGGAGGGGGTCTCTGAATTTGTCCAGTTTATAGCTGTATTTGCCTCAAACTAAGATAATGGAGATTTATTCTTATTTTGTCTAATGTAAAAAAATAGCCTAAGGCTGAATATATTTTAGAGCCAGACTTACCAAGTTCTCCTAGAATTAAGCAAATCACCTTAGTTCTCTAAGGCTCAATTTTCTTATATAATATTGAGATTATTTCTAATACATTACTCACAGGATAATTATGTAAATAAAATATTACAAATATATGTTAAGAAGCCTTTATAAAACCATGAGTACAGTGCCTGGCATTTAATAGTCCATCAATGAAAGTTATTTTTATTCTTTTACTTTTTCTTTTAATTTTCTTTCTCCTTTTTCCATTTTTCATGTATACAAATATGACTGGAAAAGATATCACAGATTTTCTGCTGTTCTAAATAGACTCTCATATTTCTTCAGACTTGGAAAAATTTAGCTGTTTTTCAGGGCAATGGAAACCTATTCAAAATTCCTTTCAAATTCTCGATTGTGTAGCAACCAGAGTATGACATTTTGGCATTTCTTTTTTTTTTTTTTTTTTAAAGATTTTACTTATTTATTTGAGAGAGAGAGAATGAGAGAGAGCACACGAGAAGGGGGAGGGTCAGAGGGAGAAGCAGACTCCCTGCTGAGCAGGGAGCCCGATGCGGGACTTGATCTCCAGGATCATGACCTGAGCCGAAGGCAGTCGCTTAACCAACTGAGCCACCCAGGTGCCCGACATTTTGGCATTTCTAAAGGTGTCAGACAGCTGAGCTAAAATTCATACACACTTCCAGGAAAGGAAGAAATACAATAGTGAACAGAGAGTTATTCCATCATTTTCTATCCAATCTTAAAAAAAAAAACAAAAAAACTTAAGATTTTCCCTTTTTAAATACTGCTTTATGGGAGTTGCAGAGCTGGGAGTATTGTTCTTTAGCTAGCATATTTAATCGCTGGGCCCCCTTTCGGTGGTTGACAGAATGGTGATATTGAGCATACAGTTTAATTACTTGGAGATGGTTGAAAGCATGCAATAAAATTTCAATTTAATGAGAAATGATAACTCATTTCAAACTGCTAATAAAAACTAAATGATTTCTTCATAATGCATAATAGAATATGACTAATTTTTATTTTTTAAAACATTAAAAATGGACCAAAAAATGGCATGATGGGAGCCTTACATCTAGTTTATCACAGATGCCAATGTTATTATTTTAAAACAGATAAACACCAAAACTTAAATAAAACTAAGTTATCTTAAAGATATATTTTAAATTATACAAATTCTCTATAATTTCAGTATGTATTAATACAATACTTTGATATTGCTACTTTCTAGAGATTGCATTTTTTCATTAGCAGTTTTTAAAAAAATTTCTCTGCTTACAAGACTAGAGGATGATTAAAACAACCACCAATTCCAACACTGAATACACAGATTCTTTTGTAAATATGTAATGTTGTTATGTGGCATTTTCTTTATGATCCATTCTCCTTCCTAAACTTAGCCTGGTGCATAGTTTTCTATGACTGAGGCATTCCTTCTCTGGCATAAACATCTATCACAGAACTCTCAACTGAATTGAAATGGAAAAAACTGATACTTACTTCTTACCAGCTCTATGCTATCTACTCCCTCTATCATATTTTAAGACAGATCTATAACTTTATATTAGTTTGAGCCTTGTATATCAATATGTTCACATATCTCATGATTGATGTGTGCTACCTTGCTTTCAGATGCTTTTGTACTCTTTTCATTTCTTGTTTTTGTTTGCATTTTATAACATATACTCCCAAGTATTTAAGGACTAAGTAGACTTTAAAGTTTCAGCAAAAAAAAAAAGTGCTGCTAATTCAAATCATACATCTCTCTCTCATGTATATATATTTAGATTTAGATGTATATAAGCATATATTTTATTTGTTATTACTCCTCTAAAAATGCATACATAAAGTCAAACCTAATCAACACACAGCTTTGGGATTTATGGAGCTTGAATTCCAAGTACACCCTGACCATTAAGACAAGTATGATGTTCGTTGAGTCATTGTCTCTCTGTCTGCTTGACTTAATACTAAATGAATATAGTAACCCAACTGAACTTTGGAGAATGTCATTGGAATAGTTACCTAGTGATTCAAAGCTGGTCAAAAAATACAAGCAGTTTAGATTCTAAGAATGACTAATGAAAAATCTTTATCCAGACATGCTGTTTTATCCCGGTCACCAGAAAGGAACCCTTTCCAACCTTTTTCTCCATCAATTTTGTTTGTATATCAGCTTCCATAGCTTTCATCCCTTAAAGAAAACTCCAAATGAGTCTAAATATCTTGCACTGCATTTTAATTCTAGATTCCACTTGAAAAACTTATTCAAAAATAGCTCATATTAAAGGAAAAGAAGATAAAAGCTTTTATTGTCAGTTACTCTTCTGGACTTTCTCAGTGAAAAGGCTGGGTTGTTTAGATCAGGTGAAAACAAAATTATGAATAAAGACAAGTGAGTTGAAAGTTTTTAAAGCAAGATTTCGAATTGTTTATTAGTGTTTGATCTGAGATTGAATTTAAATGTGATAAAAGGAAAATTGCTAAATTGCTATTAAATTATTGCTGCTAATGAAAAGTGTAAGTGGCTTTGCCAGTAAGTAGAATAATAAAACAGCAACATTTATGTTTAGAGGGTTTTGTGGCAAATAAAACTTTCTTTTCATAGGTCTTCTGTTTCTGGTACAGTGGTATCCTCTGTAGGCTCAGTTGTTATCACTATAGGAATATTCTCAGATATCCATCCCTTTGGAGTCCTATTAAAGGACCGTCTGCCAGAAAGAGGATTGGCAAAAACCATAAACCTGGGATCTGTTAGAAGTAGTAGCTCAAAATCTGGAACTTTGAATTTAACCATTTTTGATGCTTTTTCAAAACCTCCAAATGGGGTGGCAACTCTGTGGGAAGTGAAAAGAAAAAGAATATGTTAATTAATTTTCAAATTTACTTGCCAGAAAATAGAAAACAATTTAATTCGTGATTCTATGGGCATGTTGTTATATTATATTCTTAGTACAATTTTCTGTTTTTGATCTTTGAGGCAAGCATTTTTATTTAAGGACCATGCTTTTATGATAAAACAGATATTTGTTAATACATTGGTATGAAGTCCCTTTGTATGTACTCTTAGTTTGGGACTAAACTAATCTATTCTATACCCTGAGCTCATTGAAAACATTTCTTGCCTTTGTGTCTTTGCTAACATGTTTCCCCTGCTTAGATATTTCCTCCCTTCCTTCCTTCCACCTGTGTATGTCTTGTGGCCTTTAAGTTCCAACTTCCTCTCAATTATCCCAGCTTGCATGCTGTAGTTTAGCCAAATTCCTATAGCATGCACTGTTTTATGTCAGTCACTTGGTGCTTATGATATGACACTTGGCTTTTTTTTCATAATATGATTTGGTCTGAGTTTGTTTTTTTGTAATATGGTTTGGTATAATTTGTGAATCATAAAGTCTTTGAAGGCAAGAAGTGTGTCTTTTGCATCTTTCTATCTCCACTTCAAAGACCTCAAAATTCTATTTTTCTTTTGAATAAAGTCCAACTTCTTATCTTGTCATTCAAGTCCCCACATAACATTCCAGCTTTCTTTGATTTAGCCATTAATTTATTTATTCATTCAGCACCAGACATTTCTGTTAGGGATGGAACAGGCAACAATGGAGTCAAAGTTTGAGCTCTTATATTCTTTTTTTTTTAAGAGTGATAAAGCATGCATGCATGGGGTGGGGGGAAGGGCAGAAGGAGAGGGAGAGAATAAGCAGACTCTACACTGATGTGGGGCTGGATCTCACAACCCTCAGATCATGACATGAGCTGAAATCAACAGTCAGATGCCTAGCCAACTGAGCCACCCAGGCGCCCCACGCTCTTATACTCCAATGAAGACAGACAATAAAAAAAATAAACATATAGACAAAACATCCAATAGTAATGAGAACTATGCAGAAAATTAAAATAGTATAATCCACTAGGGCATAAATGAATGACTAGCTAGTTGGGGAAGACTTCTCTGAAGAGGTGACATTTAAACAATCATCTGATGGTAAGAAGTTAGCCATGGGCAGTACAGCTGAAACACATCAGCATTTCAGGCACAGAGAGTAGGTAATGCAAAGAATCTAAGGCAGAGATATTGTCGATATGTTCAGGAAAAGAAAGAAGGCTTATGTTGGTAGACATGTAGGTAAAGGTTGATAGAAGAGAGGACGGAGAGGTGGATTATATGGGACTTTGTCCAAGTAAGGAATATGAATTTCATTCTAGGTGAAGGGAACACTGTAAAATGTTCAGCAGGGGAGTAATGTAATCTGATTAAATTTTTGGAAAGGTTACTCTGGCTGCTGTTACTCTGGGAATAGATTATAAGAGGACAAGAGTGGAAGGAGAGAAGATATTGTGGCAATTCAAGTGAGAAATGATGGTGGCTTGGATTTCAGGTGTTTTCCATGAAGATGGAAAGTAGTAGGTGGTTTCAGGATGGGTTTTGGGAGTGGAGTCAACAGGATTTTCTGGTAAAATGGATAAAAATTGTCAAAGAAATAGAAATCAAGGAATAGTTGTACATTTAGAGTTTTAGCAACTGGCTGGTGGAAGACAGAGAGGAACAGGTTTGGTGTGTGGGTGGAAAACAATTTTGACATCCCAGTAGACAGGTCAATCATTTGTTTGCCCTGTTCTTTTTTTATGCCTCCTTCATTCCAGCCAAACTGAATGCACGGCTTACTCTTCTCCTTTATGCTCTCCTACCTTTAGTCATACTCTTTTTTTTCTCTGTTGGAGTACTCTGACACTTAGTACTACATTTCTAAGTCTCCTTTACGTTATAACTTTAAGTTCTAATTTGCACTTCCAAATCACCTTTAAGTTCTTTAAGTTCTAAGTATGTTATTTAAGTAACATATGTAGCTTTCTTCTTGAAGATTTCCCTAATCTCCCACAGCCAGAAGTAAATCTTTCTCGTCTAAGTTTCCATGGACTCTATTTTTACCTCGCCTGTAACCCCATTTCCTATCTTCCATTACATCCATTGATATATCTGCCTTATTTTTAATTAATTAATTTATTTTTTGCCAAACTGTACTCCAAGAGGACTGGAATTCGCTCTGACATATCTTTGTAACTCATCACAATATACTTGTATAATGCATTGTACCTAGAAGATCCTCATACACATTTGGACAATGGAACTGGGAAGACTATAGGGACTGTCCAATATAGTGGAGATTATTTTAAAGCCAGGAAGAGATCTGATTTTCTTTGTAGCTCAGTCATTCTGTGATCTTTCATGAATATGTTAATTTTTGTGTGACAATAGCGAGAGACCATGGAGTCTGATTAAGTAAGGAGACAGTGATTGATGGACTCTGAAATATGGGATGGCTTTGACATGTGGAGCTAAAGTATTATTGAATAAAAGTTGAAAGGTAAAGATACAATGTGATGGGGGGGTGAAATTGAGATTTTTGAAGGCAACACAGGTATTGGTAATGACAAACTTTAAGAAAAGCCAAGAGTGCATGTATTGCATGGAGTACTGGGTGTTATATGCAAACAATGAATCGTGGAACACTACATCAAAAACTAATGATGTACTGTATGGTGACTAACATAACAAAAAAAAAAAAGCCAAGAGTGGCTGAGGTGGGATTGAGAAAGCAGTCCTTAAAATGAGACAGTCAAAGACTTGAAAGGGTGGAGAGTTCATTAAATCATATGTGGATAGTGAAGCTACCAAGAAGTATGACAGGAATAGTCCTGAGGAGGAAGACAGAGAGCCAGACACTAAAATCCTCAGTGAAGGGAACATCCACAGAGTAGATGGAAGATCTCAACAATGGCTGAACAGATGGTACATGGTGTCACATGGTATAGAATCTCTGTCTTGTTTCCCATAATTTTCTTGTCTTCTTCTAATTTGCTCCTCTCTGAAGAGCAGTATGTTTTATTTTCTATTGCATCTGTTTTCAGGATAACTGACCTGATGATATTTCCCCCAAATTGCTGTGGAAGATATGGATAATAACAAGTCACTGATTGGTGCAGTAACCTCAGTCCAAGGTAGTACTTAGCAATCGTATCAGTAAAGACTTTCACATCCAGGGCCTAAAACCATTACTTTGGAGGTTAAAGAGATCAGTTTAGAAAAGAAATTGAAGAACTTAGATTCTCATTTCAGGTCCTTTATGATTATTAAACTTCAGAAGGCATAGTAATGATTAAAGCTATTGTTTATTGACTAGGTACTAATATAACAGACCCCTTTTTTACATGCTTCTCAAACTCTATTGGTAGAGGAGTCACCCTGGAGTCTTGTTAAAGAGCAAACACTAATTCAGTCAGTCTAGTGTGTGTCCTGAGATTCCACATTTCTAACCAGTTCCCAGGAATGCCAGTACTACTGGTCTGTGGATCATACTCTGTATACAAAGGCTTTATATGATTTTTTTCATTAAATCCTCACAACCTTATAAACTGGCTGTACTTATATCCCTTTTTAATAGATGAAATA